GCCACCCCGCCTTTGTTCCCCTGGATAAGTGTCACCTAGATGTACCACGGAGCCAAGAGGAACTGTTGTTTCCCAGGGACATTATTTTCTGATCAACACATGTTGTTCTCAGCAGCCTGTGCTGATCTGGCGGGTCTTAAATTGGACTCTTCAAGAAGCGGAAGCGGTGGAGACACGCAGACGCATGCGCCACGGTCACCCTTATGGTGCAGACAGACCCCAAGCGCTCATAGACCCCAGCCAAGTCTGGATGCAGGGTGTACAGTGGTCACTCTCGCAGATGGCTCTGCTCTGTGCAGCATGGAGCCAGCTGCTAGATCCCCATAAGACTGGACGGCCGGGTCCTCCTTCCAAATGCGACAGGACCGGGTCTGAAATTCAGACTCCAGTGTGGCATCAGTGTGGGCCACCACCGTCCCCTCAGCCCCCATCCACCTGGCCGCTGTCTCCGTGCTAGCAGGAGGCAGGTGGTCTGCTGCCTTTCGGGTGGGCATCCTGTGAGGACCCACTGAGCCCAGGGATCCACTCCCGGCTAGACAGGAGGACACCTTGAGAGCTCTGGTCAAGAGGCCGGTATCTGGTGACCCAGCTCCGGGCAAAGCCTCAGCAGAGTTGCCTGGGGTCACCAGCGATGTTGACCTGCCTCCTGCAGCTGCTGGGTAGCCAGGGGGCCACTGGCTTGCCCCCTTGCCACCCGAGGAAGGATGTTTTGACTTTTCCGAGGTCACAGGACATGAATCAAGGAAATCCAGAAGATGACCTCTGAACCTCACAGTGCTGGCTCGCGGGGACAGCCCAGCCGGCGGCCGCCCTGCTCAGCCAGCCACGACCCTCCTGCGGCGCCACTCACCTGAAGAGCTCGCGGATCTCCCTGCGGTCAGCCTGGAAGGGAATGTTCCGCACCAGGATCTTGGATGAGGTCTGCTTCCGGGGAAGCTGCTTCTTCCGGGCAGAGGTCAGGGCTGGCCTAGAGAGGAGGGGCGGGTACAGGTCACCTTGGCCAACCCTCCAGCTTTCTCCTGGGCCTCGCCCTGGGGAAGACGGCTACCATGTTGGAAGAACACTTGAGCCGTCCAGGGCAGAAACCCCAGTGAGGGCCTAGGCCCCGTCCATGGTCCTGTGTGGACCACCTCAGAGGCCGAGTCCTGAGTGCTAGTGGGCCTTCCAGGGTCTGCGACCCAGGTGGCACCTACTGCAGCCCCAGCGGAGACCTGAGCCAGAATCCAGCGGGGCTGCCGAGCCCTGACTACAGAACCTGACACTGCAGAAGCTGCGGGTCCTAGGGTCCGTCATGCAGCAAGAGATGACCAGTGCACTTCGCCATCCGCCACGCGTGGCAAATGACTCCAGGCCAGACACAGGACTCGGGGCACCTCCAAGGCAGGAGGTTCTAGCAGCAGTGTCCCCAGGATGCAAATCCCACAAGCAAATGCCACCCAGGGCCGACAGTATCTGGGGAACAGGGCTCAACACAGCTTAGAAAAAAAATGACTGTGAACATCCGCCAGGCTGCAGCAGCTGGCAAGGCTGCCTCGGGCTGGCCCTGGGGACAAGGCACTGGGTGGATGGCCACCCGGTTGGGTGCTCACAGGCAAGGCGCGTGCTGGAGGCGCCACCTGGGGGTATCACGTTGTACTCTACAGGCCAAGTCCCCTACCCATGTAGCGGGTCCCTGGATAAGAACCTGAGGCTCTGGGCTCCAGGTCTAGGCTCCCATGTTCCCCTCAGGAACGCTGCGAGCCTCCTGGGCCAGACCCAACCCTCCTCTGGCTAAGGAGGCCCAGCACAGGCGTCCACAATAAACGACCAACTTGCTGGAAATCACCAAA